GAATGTAGACACGCTGAAGAGGAGAGGGAGGAGGAGGGGGCAACCTATCCCATGCAAAGCCTAGTCCCTGGCAGGTAGTTCTCCCCAGGGTGGGAATATACTCATTTTCCACTTGTCCACTCTTCCACGCAGCAAGCAGAGGCCACAGGCTGGTGTGGGGGAGACACGAGTGTGAGCTGTGGCCCCTGACCTTGCTCACCCTGTGGCCTGGATGTGGGAATGGAACCTCGATCACGACCATCGCAGCGGGGTGGGGGTGGGGGCTGGGCGGGGCCAGTCCCACACCCTCTGGAAGGACTACACAACTGTGTGGGCATAGACTTTATTGTAAAGAATAAAGGTCACTCTGGCCTTGTCTCTTGACCCATCTGCTCTCCAGGTTCTGGTCTCTACTCCAGGAGGCTGTACTTGCCCCAGGAGGCTGCACCTGCATCAGATGTCACTGGGTGCCATCAAACTCCAACTCATTGACACTCCAAACACAACAGAATGAAAACCTGCCCTGTCCTGTGCCATCTCATAGCCTCTGCTAAGCTTAAGCCTATTTTGACAGTCATTGTGTCTGTTCATGTCGCTGAGGGTCTACCTCTCCTTCACTGAACCTCTACTTTTCCAGGTGTGATGTTCTCCAGGGACTGTGTGATTACATGCCCAGTGAAAATAGTCCTATCTCCCTCCAAATCCAGCCACTAAACTCTGCTATCCTAGCAGCAAGAACCTGCGCTGCAATCCCAAAGGCACACTGTTCGAGCCTAGCAGCTGCTCTGCAGGTCAAGGACGGGCAATCTCCTCCCATGCTATTAACTCGCTCTGAAAACCTGCCAGAAGGTCAGCGATGGGTCAGTTTCAACTCTATAATACACAACAACAACAACAACAACAACAACAATCCTTCTCCTTTCCTTTTTGGTCATTTATACACATCTTACAAATTATTCTTCTATGTTTACAATAATAGTCTTATGCAATATTTATCTTTATGAGAATGGGTTAGTTCACTCGACATAATGATCTCTAGACTCTCCCACATTATATAGTGTTTTACAAAATTGTTATTCCTTTGTGCTGCAAAGTATTCCATTATGTAAATGTACCATAATTTTTCAGTCAGTTTGTTGATAGGCATTTTGGCTGTTTCCATATTCTTGCTATTGTGAATAAAGCTGCTATGAATATAAGTGTGCCTAATACACAATAGCTGTATTCACTATTTTGAACCAACATCACACTTTAAGGGCACCATTTCTTCTCTGAGCTTCTTTATACATTGTCCAACTCTGACAGGCATATGAAGTATTTGAAAAAAGTTGTTTAGGCCAGTCATAACTTAATGCTGAAACTGATGTTCTTCAGCACTTTGAAGAAGTCCTCAACAACATTTTTGCATCCCAGATTTCTTGACTTCTGCTCCTGTCATTATATACATGTATTTTAGGGGATGGGAGACATAATTAAATTCATGACAGTGGTATTCTTCATTCACACCTTAATTCAAGAGCATCAACCTCTTCTCCAATTTTTCTTTTTCATTGTTCAACCTTCCCATACATATGATGTGAATGAAAAATACCATACCTTGGGTCAGGTTCATCTTAATCTTTAAAATGTGTACAAAGTATGTAGATGGAATGGAAATGACTGTGTCTGACCTCTATTAACTTCACAGAAGGGAACTGTCCCCATTATAATAGCCACCATAAAAACCAATTCCCATAAGGTCAGACATGACTTTCACATGGTCAAACCTAATTCTGCTGGTTCCAACACCAGTGGTATTGCTTTACAACAAGGCCCAAACCCGTTGCAAAGACCACGGGGGTCTCAAAACACCACACTCATGATTATGGGGTTTATTAGGGAAGCTAACAGATTATTTTTTGTATGCTTTTTGCCAACAAATCTGGTTTGCAGGAAGGGCAATCTGAGTGCTCCTTAGAGGCAAAGATCATGGCAAAACGTCATCTCACTTAACTGGGTATATGATCAGGAGGAAGCAGTCCTTAGAGAGACACATTCTACTAGGAAAGGGAGAGAGTTAAAGAAAGCCAGAAGGCCCTCAATGAGCTGGGATGACTTGGAGACTACCTCAGTGGGCTCGGGCAGGACAGAGATCCAGGCCCTCAATGAGCTGGACTGACTCGGAGGCTACCTCAATGGGCTTGGGCAGGACAGAGATCCTGAGGATGGCACAGGGTCGGGCAAGGTTCAGATCTGTTGTTCATAAGGTTGCAATGAGTTGTCATTGATTTGATGGCATTTAACAGGAGTGGCATCCACTTCCTAAACAACATGCCTCCTGAAACTCTGTGAACTTTGATAAATGTCGATAGTTGTAGAGGGGCTTCAGGCCTTTTGTTCATAGGGTTGCTATGAGTGTGCTCTACTTGAAGGCAATTAACAACAACAGGTTAACCACGGGAAACATTTCCTTAGTTTCTACAGTTTCTCAAGTATATTCTCGGGGCTGTTGACCTTCAGCCTAACAGCTGAGGCCAGTGTTACAAAGTTCCCTTCATCCTAGCATTGCTAGTTCTCTAGTGAGCCTAGGGGAAGGCTCTGACTCTCGCTCTCTGGAGCAGCAGTCCCAGGTCAGCTCTGTCTCGTGCTGGGCTTCGCTTCTCTGCTGAGGCCGCTGCTGCCCTGGCATGGATTGCAGTCTTGCTGGCCCTGACTGATGTGTGCTACATTCTGCATCCTCTTCCTTGCTGCTGGTAAGTCCCACCTTTGCCACTAAACCCGATCAATTCAAACTTGGCAAGATGAGAACAACTGACCCATCTCATGATGATCAGTTTATACACACCTTATTTCAGGTTCCTGCCCAGGCACGTGGGGAAAGTCAAAAGTTGATGGCTAGGAAAGCTATTTTGAACAATAAGTTCACAGAGTCACAAGGTGACATTCTCGCTATTCACGGCAGGTTCTGTTATGGTCCCCATTTACAGATGAATAAACTGAGGCTTAATAGAGTTAAGGAATATGATTGCAAAAAACCAGAGATAGGGTAGTTAGCATACTTGGAGCCCAGGTGGCAGGCAGGTACAGCCCAAAGTGTGATGCAGCCTAGGGAGGTATTACCAGGGTCATAAACGGCTGTGAAAGACAGCTGGGGCACACCGACCTGGAAGTCACATCTCCTTCCAGCTGACAGCTAGATATGGTTAACTGTCAGTTCATATGGAAAGGATCCTAACGACCTAGTAAATGAAGAATGTGTGATTGGCTCTCCTGGTTTCCAGGTAAAGTGTTGCGTTTTCTAGGAGTCGGGTTTACAGATAAATCCTTAATTTGTGCCGTCAAGCTTCAGCACTGGAAAAATCCTTGGTAAAGGACCAAAGACGGATAAGTTCCAGGCTGAAACCTGAGTGTTAAATCCTTAGTTTGAAGTTCAGTGAGTATTTGTTCAGTGAGATTGGAGACTTTATGTAGACTTCGTATAGCTCAGGAACTGAAATATTCCTTCTGCTTAGAGAGAGATGCCACTCCCATACAGCAGACTCCCCCTCTGGGCTCTGCAGACTCAGAGGTCCTGTAAGGCCTCTAGTGGAGCCAGCTCCCCTCTCTGGGCATGCATGTTCTTGCCTGATCAGGATTTGTGGGCTTTCCTACAGAGGTCCACTCTGAACCAAAGTTCTACTCGATAGCATGTGGATGGAGTTCTCCCATCTGATAAGTATTGATCTGAAGAGTCCAGAAAGAAACAAAACCCAAACCAAACCCACAAACCCATCTCTTTTGAGCTGATTATTAGTCATTGTGACCCCATAAGACTGAGCAGAATAGCCCCATAAGGTTTCCTGCACTGAAATGGTTTGAATTCTGAACTGCCCAAACAAAGAAACAAGGTTGTCTTGGGAGAAGTGCAGCCTCAGGACTGTGGATGATGAGATTTCATCTCAAGGATTTTGAGCATGTTATAAGGAAGAGCCAGTCCCTGGAGAAAGGTGTCATGCTTGGAAAAGCAGAGGGTCAGTGACAGAGATGGATGTCAGAGTGACTGGAACAATGGGCTCACGGATGGCAGGATTATGAGGATGGTGCGGGATCGGGCTGCACACGGGATCCTTGTAGATCAGAATCAACTTGTGGCACATAACAACAATCATTATGAAAGCAGAGTGTCATATCTTTATCCTTCGAAGGAGTGTGTAGGTTCAAAATACTGGGGCAGGAAGACAGTGCACGTGTGTGACCTCGACCCTCAGACATATGGTAGAGGCCCTTGCAAGGCCGGCCAGTATGGCCCTTTTGTTTTACATCCTGGCAGACAGAAGTGTACGCCAAGTCCTTATGAACGCAGACAGGAGTAAGCTCAAGAAATCCTCCTTAGAGGAGCCCTGATTCCTCCAGACAAAGCCTTGAGCTTTGGTGGATGTGGTGCAGTCCTCCACCAACCAGAACAGCAGAGGAGCACACACAGGTACCAATACACCTGTGTGTAGGCAGACCACCTAGTAACTGTATGTGTGGGGGAACACACACGTGATTTTGTGCATCTGTTGTGCCCAAGCGTGTGCAAACTGTGCAAATGTCCTCACAGGTGTGCTTGGACAGGGCCACGACCGTCACATCCTCCAACTCTCCCTGACCCAAAGGTGCTTCCTGGAGGCCTGGCTCAAAGGGACCCTCCCTTGGTTGCACATCCTGCCAGCCTGGAGCTGGAAAAAAAAATTTGCCAGGATTGTCAAAGTAACCCGCTGATGGGTCTTCAGGTTTGCCTAGAACAAAAGCCTCTTTGTGCTGCCTCCTGGGCCCTCTCCTCTGGCTCCTGTTTACCAGAGAGTAAGCAAGCACCTGCTCACCTCTCCTGCCTGCTGAAACTTCTGCCCCGCTGAGCCATCCTGCTGCCCTCTTACACACAGGTGCTGGGAAGACAAGGAGGGTTGCAGGGTCATAGGTCCCAGAGAGGACACCCACATCTCTGTAGCAGGAAGTCTGGTCAGCCTGACCCCCAGAACAGCTCCGCAGGGAAAACACTGTGGGCAGGACAAAGGGACAGTATGAGAAGACCTGAAGCATCCTTCTAGGCTCCCTGGTGGTATAGTTAAAGCACTGTGCTGCTAACCAAGAAACTGGCTGTTCAAGCCCTCCAGCCCCGTTCCACAGCAGAAAGATGTAGCAACCTACTTCCCTAATGATTTCCAGCCTTGGGGAAACTCAGAGCACAGTTCTGTTGCCATTTCTGGGAAGTCTGGCTCACCAGGACTAGACCCTTTGCTATAACAGCCACCCTTGTATTTAACACAAACAGGGACATCTGGCCATATCTGCCTGCCCTACATCCTTTCCTTGAGACAACATATCAGTGCATTTGGAATCTTTGTTCCTCATAGAATTCTATTGCACCAGAATTTCTTTAACCAGTCCCCAAGCTTTGTCTCACATAATCTAGGCATATTGCTAGGAAATGCAATTCCTTGGAGAGGGACATCATGCTTGGAAAGATGGAAGGCCAGTGAAGGAAGGGCCAGGGAAGACCCTCGATGAGATGGATTGACACAGTGACTGCAGCAAAAGGCTCAGGTATATCAGAGATGATGAGGCTGGCACAGGAAAGGACAGGCTTCAGGTCTATTGTTCATAGGGTCAGGCACATAACAGAAAGTATTAAGAACATGCTAGGAATTATTGGCAATTATTTTTAAGCTTCCAAAGATTACACAGAACAAATACCACATTGCCATCAAAATCTTAGGAGTGTAGGTCAGGGAATTTACACAGAGTCCCTGAATCAACCTCAGTGGGCAGAGCTCTATGATTATGTCATTTTACTGAAGAAATTATGAAGGCATAGAGTAATGAAATCACTTACCCAGTATCTCATACCTAATAATAAGTAGGGCACTAAGAGTTTCTCTCTAACTTTGTTCCACATATTTAATCCATTCTGTGATCCAAATCAGAGTGTTTGCTAGTTGTAGTGGGGCACCACCTGGTTCCTTCTGATCTCAGGGCAGTGGAGGCTGTGATTTGTATGCTCCATTAGTTCTTTAGACTAATTCTTTCCTCTAAACAGAAGAAGACCAATTATTACATCTTTATGGTTGCTGGCTGAAAGTAAAGAATATCAGAAGAATGCCTATTTGTGCATAAAGCACAATAGTCAAAGTCAATAAATGACTATGAAATGGCATTTGACTGTGTGGATCATAACAAGTTGTGGATGACATTGAGAATAATGAAAGTCCCAGGGCACTTAATTGTGTTCATGTTTTTCACACCTGGACCAGTCTATTGTGTGAACAGAGCAGGGGAATATTGCATGGTTTGAAGCTAAGAAAGGAGTTGTGTCAGGGTTGTATTCTCTCTCCATATCTGTATGCTGAACAAATTATTCTAGAAGCTGGGCTGAAGAGGAATATGGCATCAGGACCAAAGGGAGACTCATCAATAACATGCATTATATAGATGGCACAACCTTGCTTGATGGAAATGAAGAAGACTTGAAGTACTTGTTGCAGAAAATCAAGAAATGCAGTCTTTGTTATGGATTGCATCTCAATATAAAAAAAAAAACCAAAGATGGATGGAGAACATAACGAAACTGTCAACAACTTCATCTTACTCAGATCCACAGTTGACACTCTTGGTGCCAGCAGTCAGGAAATAAGGAGACACATTGAACTGGGAAAGTCTGCAGTTAAGGACCTCTCCAAATCATTGAGGAATAATGTCAGTTTGAGGACTAAGGTACATCTAATTCAGGTCATGGTCTTTCTGATCACTTGCTATGCATCTGTGGGCTGGGCAATGAATAAGGATGACAGAAGAAGAATTGATGTCTTTGAACTGTGGTGTTGGAGAAGGGCACTGAACATCCCATGGACAAGCAAAAGAACAAACCGATATGTCTTGGAGAGAGTGCAGCCAGAGTGCTCTTTGGAGGCAAGAATGATGAGGTATACTTTGGGCATGTTGCTAGGAGGGGCTATTCCTTGGAGAGGGACATGATGCTTGGAAGGGAGGAGGGTCGGTGAAAGATAGGAAGACCCTCAATCAAGTGGACTGATATGGTGACTGCTTCATGGGCTCTTGTGTGTCAGGAAGTGTCAAGATGGTGCAGGATAGATAGGACAGGGTTCAGACCTGTTGTTCATAGGGTCGCTATGAGTCATACACGATGGCATCTAACAACAACAACACTCATCACTGTAGCATGTAAAACATTGTTTCTGGGATTAGTGTTATGCCAACTGGCTTGGCTATATCCTAAAACTCTGGTCCCAAACAAGGGAAGAATATTTGAATCAGATGGACACTAGCCTGTGTGCCTAAATACATTCACCTCTGAAGTCACAATCAACAACCCTAGAAATAGTAATAAAGAAATCAAACTACCTGCTGTATTCAGTATAACTGCTGGTAGACTTCTTCAGAGAGCAAGGAGTCAGTTTAAAGACTAAGGTGTGTCTGATCCAAGCCATGCCATTTCCAATCACCTGACAAGCAGGTGAAAATTGGACAAGGAATACGGAAGCTTGAAGAATTGATCTCTTGGCAAAGAACATTGGCTAAGTTACCACAGACTGCCAATTGAACAAACAGATCTCTCTAAGAAGAAGTGCAGAAGCGTGCTCCTTAGAAGCTAGGACAGAGAGGCTTTGTCTCACACACTTTGGGCATAATATCAGGAGGGGCCAATCATTGGAGCAAGATATCATGCAAAGCAGGTCAGCAGTGTGATGAATTGAGGAGCCTCGGGAGTAGGATGGTTTAAAGAGTTTGGCTGCTTACTGGAAGGTCTGCAGTTCTAGCCCAGCTACTGCTCCAAGGGAGAAAGAGGAGGCGGTTTGCTCCAGTAAACACAGCCTTGGGATTCCTACAGAGCAGTTCTACCCTGCTGGATGGGGTCAGTGGGAAACGGAACCCACTGAAACCAGTGGGGCTTTTCTTTCTGGAGAGTTTGAGGTCCTTGGCTACGCACCCTTGTTGGGCGGAAGGATTAGGCCAGGGTCTGGCTCTCCCAGCCCCTACTTCTGATAACACTCTTCTGTCCCTGGTCCTGCTGTCCTGCTGGTCTACCCTCACTTTGCCAGGGCACACCTTCCCTTGGGGCAAGTGCAGCCTCCTGCAGTGCACATGTGTCTCCTGCCACAGCCTGGAAACCCCTTCAGGCCTTCATTCTGCTCCAGGGAGGTGCCAAGGATGTCTACCACCTAATGGACAGGTGAGACCTGGAAGCACTTCCCTCACTTGAGCCCCCTACACAGAGTGGGATGGTCCAAGGGCAGCAGGACTCAGCCTGGGCCTAAACAGTTTCTGGCCAGACAATGCTTTCTTTCAGGTTTTGAGCCTTGGAGGTCTGGAACCCCACAAGCATGAAGCAGGCACTCTGGCCCCACAGAACCACCGTGCACACCTGAGCATGAGCCGCATGGGGCTGACACCTGTCTGGTCCACAGGTGTCAGCAGCATTGGCTACCACAGTTCTGGCCTGTTTGTGTAGGCTTTGGGGCACATCCGGGATCCTCCCTCAGGCCCGGATGTTCCCCAAGGAGCCCCCACGCCCAGACCTTTCCTGTCTCTTTGGTAGCCCTCATTGCTTCCTTCTGGCTAGGGGCCCGATGGGCCCAGAAGGGTATAAAGGCCATGAGGACAATCAGCATAGCAGTGACACCCAGTTCAGACGTCACCTGGCCAGGTAAGAGCTCCCACAGAGGAGCTGGTGGGGTCTGGGATGCAGAAGCGGGGTTCCCAAGCCCAGCCTCTCCTCTCTGCCCAGGAGTTTCTTGGCCTGCCACTCACAACCATGCTGCTGGTGCTGACTTTTGCCACTCTGGGGATCTCCACCTGCTGGGCAGAGGGTAAGTAGGACTTTGTGCAGCACACTCCCTGGGGCCTCCCACCTTACCCAGCCCCAGTGTGGTGGTGGTGGTGGTGGGACGCTGCTATGTGCAGAGGTACCTGTCTTTGACTCACATGACTTTTGTCGTCCATGTAGGATTAATTGGGAATGGAGGCGGCAAGTATTTCGAGACTCCCAAGGACTACGAAAATGATATCTCAGCTGTTGAGATTTGTGTAGCTAACAAGATCATCAAAAGGTGAGTAGGAGCAGAGGATCTCGGCTCTGTCCTCACAGCCCCAACTCCTCTTAGGGCTTGAGGACCCAGGGAGGGCCTGGAGCCCCTCCTGTCAATCTCAGAGCAAGCTCCCGGGGACTATGTTTCCCGGAATCTTGGATTCAGTAATTGTTACCTACCTATGTGTTCCTTGCCTGTGCTGGCTTCTTTGCTTCTCACCTGTCACAGTTCTCTCGTAAACGGATCAAAAGACCCAACTCCACAGTCATCGAGTCTATTCTGACCCACAGTTACCCTGTGGGGCAGAGGAGAAATGCCCCACTGGGCATCCAAGGCAGTGAGTTCACAGAAACAGAACTAATTTATCTCCTGAGCAACACCTGAGTGATTCCAACTGCTGACCTCATAGTTACCAGCTGAGCACTTACCCACTACTCTGATAGGGGCCTTTTGAAAGGGTCAGGTGGTGGCTTGCCCTTTTGACCTAAACTCAACCATAAATGACCTTTCAGGCCCAGATCACCTGATGGGGAAATTGAGTGATAGTTTGTCCAAGTTAGGGTCAAATAGGAAAGGAGGTGAGGGTCACAGTGGACCACTTCTGGAGCACCAGTCTGCAGAATGTTGTCCAGTACAATTATCCTAATACTAAAGTGCCTTTGCTGCTCTTGAATGAGAACAGAATGAGCACAGAAGTCCGTGGACCTAGGGGAGGGAGTGGAACAGAACCTTCGGGCTCCAAAAGAGACTGAGAATGCGGTGGGCTCGTGAGTCCATTGTTGGAGGATCAGGGTTGCTAACCATCCCAGATCTGGTGTTAGGAATTTCCTCTCTCTCTTAGTTTACGGATGAAAACTGGACCCAGCTGGGGTAAGACGTATGGAGCCAAACATGGGACTTGCACCTCCTTTGTCCTGTGGCCAGGCGAGCACATCATCGCTGTCTCTGGCACCCACAAGGTTTTCATCAATTCCTTGTACCTGTTCACAGACCAAAACCGCATAGCTGCCTTTGGAAATGACTCTGAGAACAAGTTCATTATCTACCCCGATAGGGCGGAGGAGGTGCTCACTGGCTTCAAAGGCATGTATAAACTACTAGGCATCACTGCCCTTGGCTGCAAATGGCAATACCCAGTTTTACTCGAGGTTAACCAAGAGGTCTATGACAGCAATAGCACCAGCCTGGAGGAGCCCTGTAAGTCCAACTGATCAGATTTGGGTAATTGCACTACCACCTCCAGATCTGACTCTTCCGATGATTAAAGCATCTGCAGAAACACTTGCGCTCAGGTGTGGTTCCTGGGTCCTTTGAGGCTGTGGGAGCGCCAGGGGTGGGGTGGGGAACTCAGCTGAGGACACAAACTGCCTGGTGGTGGAATCTTGGAGGGGAAAAGTCTCCCTCCCTCCGTGGACAGTTCTGGTACCAGCCCAGTCTTTCCCACTGGCCTTCCTCTGCTGGCTCCGTGCCAGTTTTCTGAGTGGCACAGGGCATCAGAGAAGACACACACACACACACACACACACACACACACACACACACACACCCCAGCAAGTTGTTATTCATTCACTCACCTCCTCACTCATTCATTCTCCCAGCAAACATTTGCAGAGGACTCCTCCAGCCAGGTATTCAGAAAGGGCCAGCTGCCCAGGTGCCTGCAGAGGGCTGCTGCCCCCCGGGGACATCATACCAACTGTGGAAGTAGGGGGAGGGCAGTCATCTGGGTGAGAGCTTTGGGGAAAGTGTGCTTCAGGGAGGCCTGCCAGGAGGAGGCAGTATCTGAGCTTTGCTGTCTTAGAGGATGAGTGAGAAGTGGCCAAGGGGAGACAAAAGGGTGGGAGTGGAGACTATATAGATGCATAGGAGGTCATACAGCAGGCTTCTCAGAGTGGGGACAGGGACCCCACCCCAGGAACCCGGAGCCCAATCATAGGGTCCCTGAGGTCCTAGCTGCTGTTGTGGTAACACTAGGACGAGATATATCTTGTCACTCTCTGCCTCTCTACCCCCTTCCCCACCTCAGCATGCAGTGTCCCCTGCCCCAAGGCACCTGCTGAGGTCACCCCTCCAGTGGATCCCCAAAAGTGGCCGCATAAACTAAGTCCTGAAACCCAATCTGCGTCCACGCTGTCCTTTTAAGGATACAACTTTTCACCTTAAACAAGGGTTAAGTGAGAAAGCACAGAGCTCACGCCACCTGGGAACTCTGCTGCGCCCCTCTCTGCTTGCATGTCCTGCGAGGGCGCTGGTAGCGCCTCCTGTCCGCTGCCCCACTGCTGGCAGATGGGTTCCAGGAGCAGGTGAGGCTCCCAAGCAGACCTCTGTGACACGTCGGACTAGAAAGGGAAGCACACACCCCAGCTGCTTTGACGAAGGAGTGGGGAGAGGGGTAGATGCAGGTGAGCTCACAGACCTGGAGGGACGCTGGGCCCCTGCACTGGGGAGGTAACAGGCTGTACAGTCACCAGACCAAGTGATGACCTCGTGCCACGTGACCCTAACTCCCAGGCCTTGGGACCAGGTAGATCAAGGGAAGGATTTCCCAACTGAGAAACAGGCCCGACGGCAGGAAGGACATTGGGCCAAGCTGAGGTTCGGACCACTCTGGAACTCGCTGAACGCAGCACTGATGCTGGCGCCCAAGAGCTGCTGCTGCTGCCCAGCAAGTGTGTCCCCATGGGTCCGCCTGCGGCTGCGTGCGCCATCTGCTCTGCAGTACCAGCAGGGGGCGCTGATGGGCTTCAGGTGCTGGCCTGCTCTTCAGCTTCCGCCTGTTCTCCAGGGCCAGCAGCTGCCATTGGTCCATCAGCGGCCATAGTGGACTCTTCTGCCTCACGGGTTTTGGCTTCAGATGGGGGAGCTCTCCTAACGACTCTAACTCCCCCCGCGCCAGGCTTATAACCACACCGGAGCCTGAGAGCCCACTATTTTGACTTGGTTTCTGAAGGATATGGTTGCTGGCGCCTGAGACAACCTTTCTGCAAAAGTGGACAGCCAGCCACTTGTGGCAAGTGCAGAAACCGGTGGCAGCGCAGTCACCTGGGGCAGCTGCATCCACCTGGAGAGCAGATTGGTCAAGAGACAAGGCCAGAGTGACCTTTATTCTTTAGAATAAAGTCTATGCCCACACAGGAGGTGGTCCTTCCAGAGAGTCTGGGACTGGCCCCGCCCAGCCCCCCCCCCCCCCCGCTGCGATGGTAGCGATTGAGGTTCCATTCCCACATCCAGGCCACAGGGTGAGCAAGGTCAGGGGCCACAGCTCACACTCGTGTCTCCCCCACACCAGCCTGTGGCCTCTGCT